GCCCGCCCTTCATCGGCCACCTGCCAGCTTGCCCGTGTTCTCTTGGAAGACCGTGTCGCAGCACCAAAACACCATGGCAGCGAAGACGGATCGGGCCCGCGGTCGGCAGCCCATGGTTCCAAACGTTGCTTCTTGAACTCCCTAGAAACTAGCTCCAAACTTGGACTTTGCCCGCCCTTCATCGGCCACCTGCCAGCTTGCCCGTGTTCTCTTGGAGACTTTGCCCGCCTCTTGGAGAACCGTGTCGCAGCACCAAAACACCATGGCAGCGAAGGACGGATCGGGCCCGCGGTCGGCAGCCCATGGTTCCAAACGTTGCTTTCTGAACTCCCTAGAAACTAGCTCCAAACTTGGACTTTGCCCGCCCTTCATCGGCCACCTGCCAGCTTGCCCGTGCTCTCTTGGAGGACCGTGTCGCAGCACCAAAACACCATGGCAGCGAAGGACGGATCGGGCCCGCGGTCGGCAGCCCATGGTTCCAAACGTTGCTTCTGAACTCCCTAGAAACTAGCTCCAAACTTGGACTTTGCCCGCCCTTCATCGGCCACCTGCCAGCTTGCTTGTGTTCTCTTGGCGGACCGTGTCGCAGCACCAAAACACCATGGCAGCGAAGGACGGATCGGGCCCGCGGCCGGCAGCCCATGGTTCCAAACGTTGCTTTCTGAACTCCCTAGAAACTAGCTCCAAACTTGGACTTTGCCCGCCCTTCATCGGCCACCTGCCAGCTTGCTTGTCTTCTCTTGGCGGACCCTGTCGCAGCACCAAAACACCATGGCAGCGAAGGACGGATCGGGCCCGCGGCCGGCAGCCCATGGTTCCAAACGTTGCTTTCTGAACTCCCTAGAAACTAGCTCCAAACTTGGACTTTGCCCGCCCTTCATCGGCCACCTGCCAGCTTGCCCGTGTTCTCTTGGAGACTTTGCCCACCTCTTGGAGGACCGTGTCGGAGCACCAAAACACCATGGCAGCGAAGGACGGATCGGGCCCGCGGCCGGCAGCCCATGGTTCCAAATGTTGCTTTCTGAACTCCCTAGAAACTAGCTCCAAACTTGGACTTTGCCCGCCCTTCATCGGCCCACCTGCCAGCTTGCCCGTGTTCTCTTGGAGGACCGTGTCGCAACACCAAAACACCATGGCAGCGAAGGACGGATCGGGACCGCGGCCGGCAGCCCATGGTTCCAAACGTTGCTTTCTGAACTCCCTAGAAGCTAGCTCCAAACTTGGACTTTGCCCGCCCTTCATCGGCCACCTGCCAGCTTGCCCGTGTTCTCTTAGAGGACCGTGTCGCAGCACCAAAACACCATATGGCAGCGAAGGACGGATCGGGCCCGCGGCCGGCAGTCCATGGTTCCAAACGTTGCTTTCTGAACTCCCTAGAAACTAGCTCCAAACTTGGACTTTGCCCGCCCTTCATCGGCCACCTGCCAGCTTGCCCGTGTTCTCTTGGAGGACCGTGTCGCAGCACCAAAACACCATGGCAGCGAAGACGGATCGGGACCGCGGCCGGCAGCCCATGGTTCCAAACGTTCCTTCTTGAACTCCCTAGAAACTAGCTCCAAACTTGGACTTTGCCCGCACTTCATCGGCCACCTGCCAGCTTGCCCGTGTTCTCTTGGAGACTTTGCCCGCCTCTTGGAGGAGCACCAAAACACCATGGCAGCGAAGGACGGATCGGGACCGCGGCCGGCAGCCCATGGTTCCAAACGTTGCTTTCTGAACTCCCTAGAAACTAGCTCCAAACTTGGACTTTGCCCGCCCTTCATCGGCCACCTGCCAGCTTGCCCGTGTTCTCTTGGAGGACCGTGTCGCAGCACCAAAACACCATGGCAGCGAAGGACGGATCGGGCCCGCGGGCCACGGCCCCCACTGCCTAACGTTGCTTTCTGAACTGCCTAGAAACTAGCTTCAAACCTTGCTTTTCCCTGCGTTCCTGCACTGCCAACTGCCTACTTGCTTGCGTCGTCTCTTGGAGAACCGTGTCGCAGCACCAAAACACCATGGCAGCGAAGACGGATCGGGACCGCGGCCGGCAGCCCATGGTTCCAAACGTTGCTTCTTGAACTCCCTAGAAACTAGCTCCAAACTTGGACTTTGCCCGCCCTTCATCGGCCACCTGCCAGCTTGCCCGTGTTCTCTTGGAGACTTTGCCCGCCTCTTGGAGCGCCTTCATCGGCCACCTGCCAGCTTGCCCGTGCTCTCTTGGAAGACCGTGTCGCAGCACCAAAACACCATGGCAGCGAAGGACGGATCGGGCCCGCGGTCGGCAGCCCATGGTTCCAAACGTTGCTTCTTGAACTCCCTAGAAACTAGCTCCAAACTTGGACTTTGCCCGCCCTTCATCGGCCACCTGCCAGCTTGCCCGTGTTCTCTTGGAGACTTTGCCCGCCTCTTGGAGCGCCTTCATCGGCCACCTGCCAGCTTGCCCGTGCTCTCTTGGAAGACCGTGTCGCAGCACCAAAACACCATGGCAGCGAAGGACGGATCGGGCCCGCGGTCGGCAGCCCATGGTTCCAAACGTTGCTTTCTGAACTCCCTAGAAACTAGCTCCAAACTTGGACTTTGCCCGCCCTTCATCGGCCACCTGCCAGCTTGCCCGTGTTCTCTTGGAGGACCGTGTCGCAACACCAAAACACCATGGCAGCGAAGGACGGATCGGGCCCGCGGCCGGCAGCCCATGGTTCCAAACGTTGCTTTCTGAACTCCCTAGAAACTAGCTCCAAACTTGGACTTTGCCCGCCCTTCATCGGCCACCTGCCAGCTTGCTTGTGTTCTCTTGGCGGACCGTGTCGCAGCACCAAAACACCATGGCAGCGAAGGACGGATCGGGCCCGCGGCCGGCAGCCCATGGTTCCAAACGTTGCTTTCTGAACTCCCTAGAAAATAGCTCCAAACTTGGACTTTGCCCGCCCTTCATCGGCCACCTGCCAGCTTGCCCGTGTTCTCTTGGAGACTTTGCCCACCTCTTGGAGGACCGTGTCGGAGCACCAAAACACCATGGCAGCGAAAGACGGATCGGGCCCGCGGCCGGCAGCCCATGGTTCCAAACGTTGCTTTCTGAATTCCCTAGAAACTAGCTCCAAACTTGGACTTTGCCCGCCCTTCATCGGCCCACCTGCCAGCTTGCCCGTGTTCTCTTGGCGGACCGAGTCACAACACCAAAACACCATGGCAGCGAAGGACGGATCGGGCCCGCGGCCGGCAGCCCATGGTTCCAAACGTTGCTTTCTGAACTCCCTAGAAACTAGCTCCAAACTTGGACTTTTGCCCGCCCTTCATCGGTCACCTGCCAGCTTGCTTGTCTTCTCTTGGCGGACCCTGTCGCAGCACCAAAACACCATGGCAGCGAAGGACGGATCGGGCCCGCGGCCGGCAGCCCATGGTTCCAAACGTTGCTTTCTGAACTCCCTAAAAACTAGCTCCAAACTTGGACTTTGCCCGCCCTTCATCGGCCACCTGCCAGCTTGCCCGTGTTCTCTTGGAGGACCGTGTCGCAGCACCAAAACACCATGGCAGCGAAGACGGATCGGGACCGCGGCCGGCAGCCCATGGTTCCAAACGTTCCTTCTTGAACTCCCTAGAAACTAGCTCCAAACTTGGACTTTGCCCGCCCTTCATCGGCCACCTGCCAGCTTGCCCGTGTTCTCTTGGAGACTTTGCCCGCCTCTTGGAGGACCGTGCCGCAGCACCAAAACACCATGGCAGCGAAGGACGGATCGGGCCCGCGGTCGGCAGCCCATGGTTCCAAACGTTGCTTTCTGAACTCCCTAGAAGCTAGCTTCAAACTTGGACTTTGCCCGCCCTTCATCGGCCACCTGCCAGCTTGCCCGTGTTCTCTTGGAGGACCGTGTCGCAGCACCAAAACACCATGGCAGCGAAGGACGGATCGGGCCCGCGGGCCACGGCCCCCACTGCCTAACGTTGCTTTCTGAACTGCCTAGAAACTAGCTTCAAACCTTGCTTTTCCCTGCGTTCCTGCACTGCCAACTGCCTACTTGCTTGCGTCGTCTTGCAGCTGGCTGTCGTGCGGCACGGCTCGGGTCAAGGGACCCCCTCGCACGGCTTAAACACCATGGCCCTGAAGGACGGATCGGGCCCGCGGGCCACGGCCCCCACTGCCTAACGTTGCTTTCTGAACTGCCTAGAAACTAGCTTCAAACCTTGCTTTTCCCTGCCTTCCTGCACTGCCAACTGCCAACTTTCCTGCGTCGTCTTGCAGCTGAAACCTTGCTTTTCCCGTCCTTTCCTGCATTGCCAACTGCCAACTTGCCTGCGTCGTCTTGCAGCTCAAAGCTTGCTTTTCCCGTCCTTTCCTGCCCTGCCAACTGCCAACTTGCCTGCGTTGTCTGACAGCTGGCTTTCGTGCGGCCCGGCTCCGGTCAAGGGACCCCCTCGCAGAGCTCAAACACCATGGCCCTGAAGCTCCGGTCAAGGGACCCCCTCGCAGGGCTAAAACGCCATGGCAGTGAAAGACGGATTGGGCCCGCGGCCCGTAGCCCAGACTGCCAAACGTTACTTTCTGTCGCTCGTTTACTCTTGCTTCTGCATTCTTCCTTCTAACTTCTTGTTTCGTGCTTCTTTCGCTTGCTACGTTCGCTGAGACTGCCCCTCCTTTCTCGCTTCCTTTTTGGGGCTTCTTACTCTGCACCTGGCTTCCCTTTCTGTCCCCCCCTCGCTTGCCCCTCACTTGCACTGCACAACACTTGTTGCTTGTAATCTCTTCTCTGACGCGCTCCCCCTGCTGTCGGCAGGGGTCGGCGGATTTACATTTATTTCCCCACTAGGCTCTGCAAAAAGGCCCCCACAATAGTGGGGGTATCCTTGGAAAGTCCATAACATCCGAGTCGCCTGATGAACCATGCAGCATGATTGTGTGAGTCGCTGTTTCCAGAATTCAGTTGTGGCGCCCCAGACAAGTTGCCTTCCATTTGGCTCAACCAGCTGTGACGCTCTCCCAAGCCGTAGCCGGCAGCATTGCTGGATTGACTCATAGGCAGTGCGGCATGTGCATCGGTGGTCGAGAACAGATGACAGCACCCAAGGTGACAGATCCCTTCGCGGAGTGCGTCGCAACTTGGTGTCAGGGTCTCCCCAATGCCATTCCACCCATCGTTTTCCCTATTGGAATCGCTATTTGGCAATCTCCTGGGTTCATGGCGACTTTTTGGTTTTTCCCAAAATCACAAGGACTGGGGAATCCATAGGGACCATCATACGATTTTTCAATCCAAGTTCTGTGATTCCCCACACATCTTCCCTCGGGCCAAGGCAGTGTTGAGGAGAGTGGAGGGCGAATTTCATTTTGCCCTTCCTCTTCGCTTACTTGGTGCTGTTTTGCTGGTGCCTCCGCTGCTGGGGTCTGGGGAGGTCTTGGCAGTGCCGGTGCCGCCGGTGTGCTGTTTGTGGAAAACAGTTAGCAGCCTTTGGGTTCTAGTGACTCTAGTGGCCAATGCATTTCAATCTGGTAGTCTTTGGGGGGTATTGACCATTGGACAATAGATTCATGGCTGCCACCATGTGTTCACCCATCGATAAGATGGCCATCCAACTCACTGTCGCATGACTTCTTGTTTTTTTTTCAAACAGTTGTAGGATATCTATGGAAATCTTCACTACGATGCTGAATCAACAAATTTTGCATATGGAAACAACATATATATATATATATACATACTGATTATACACACACACATATATATATATATATATATACATATTATGATCAGATTGCCTAGAGATGGAGTCATTCTCATGTTTCAGCCATTGCCCCTCGGGGCCCTCAGGCCCCTCGGCCCCAGACATGATCAATGCCCTTGATATCCTTGGGCGACCAGTTTTTGAACCATTCACGCATTCTTTTGAATTGATGACACAAAAATTGATATGCCATCTTGCCATCTTGGTGATTTCGACTGGATATGCAATGTTTTCATCCTGACTTGGGAGGTTTCTGTAGACATTTAAGTAGACTATTTCGGGCTGAAAAAAAAATATCGGTGAAACCCAAGCAGAGAATCCACGAACGATCCATTGCTTTTTTCATTGCGACCTTCGGCCATGCCATGGCCGCAGTGGGGAGATCTAAGTCCAACGCGGCTTCGCAAAGCGCTTTCGTCCTGTGGAAATGCCTTGGTGGGTCCGGAAGTGGCACGAGGTCCCGCTGTATGGGGGGTGAAAACCACCAAACATGGTGGTTTGAAATGGTTTAACCATCCTGACATGGGGATATATAGCCAATATAAGATTAAATATATCCCACAATTGCCACCAAACATGAATAGACAGATCCAATAATTACTAGGTTTATGGGGGGTGTTTGATATTCGGGGAACCATTTTCTTTAATTAAAATGGCCCTCTGTGTTAAACCACACTCCATTTCTGGACGTACGTCCATGTACCCACGCTGGGTATGTCCTTCGAATCGAGGGCGTTTTCGATTCCCAGGCGACTTTCCAATGTACGTCGTCGCCTTTGATGACTTCATGCATATGAGGTCGGTTCAATCGCATCATGAGCTCTTAGATCAGGGACTTCTGGTGGAATTTCAGTCCCAGATGGGCGATGCTGTTTTCGTTTCACACCAGTGGACTGGATTCACCCATCCGGATGGGAATTTTGAGCAACTGCGTGTTCTTCAGAGGGCCTTTGATTATTTGATGGGAGGGCAGATACTCCTCAAGTCATCTCACATGTCCTATGCTTTCCTTGGTCATGGAGAATACATATCCACCCGAGACTGGCATAGCAATTCCTTGTTCATTTGGTACGACTATTTTTCGTGCCCACAGCTGGTGGCACGCAGCGATGGTCAAGAAGACGTCGCCGAATTGCAATCTGCAGTGGATAGCATCGGTCGCTACGTCCAGGAATCTAAATATTTCTTGGTGCTTTGCCCATGCGTGGCGCATGCAGAGACTGGGCAACTCCTCTGCAGAGAAAGTTGGAAGAGCCGAGGCTGGTGCAGGTTCGAACGTGTTTGCAGAGAGTTTCTTGGGCAAGATGCCAATATCGCAGTCATTGAGACCTGGCTTTGCTTAGTTTGCCAATAGCCGACTGTTTCAATTTTCCCAATCATTAAAAATCTGGGGAGTACAGGGAATACATAGGGAATACATAGGGAATACATAGGGAATACATAGGGAATACATAGGGAATACTCATGAATATTTTATGATTTTTATGGTCCCCATTTGGCAGTCATCCAAAAAACCTAGGAGAGCGTGGAGCAGTCCTATGTGATGACTCCCTTCGATTCGTGGCTCCGACCTGCGTGCATGGGAGATTTCACCGTTGAAAGCGACAGAGACAGGGTCGGGGTCCTGGTGTCAAATCGTTCTGCGTTCGCCCATTTTTTTAAATATAACCTCTGGTAAACTAACATAACTATGGAAAATCACCATTTTCAATGGGAAAATCCACTATAAATGGTCATTTTCAATAGCTATGTTAAATTACCAGAGGGTACCCTCTGGTAAATTAACAGTTTGACCCTGAAAATGGACACCAATTTTTAATGGACACCAATCTTCCAAGCCCGATGGCTGGCAGGGTCTGCTTGTTAATTTACTGGATGGTACATACATGGATATACATGGGGGTTTCTGAAGTCATGGGGGATCCCCAAGTCACAACAGGTTTCAATACGGTTGGTCTTGATCATCACTGGGATGATCACTGGGGTACCCCCATAGATTGGAAACCTCCACATAGGCATCATGACATACTTGGATCATCTTCGATCTCTCGCCTATTCTCAACTGGAAAAAAATAAGGTGTATACGTGTATACAGCTGTATAGATGATCTTTTTAACCAATTGCTTTCAGTATTTGCTAAGACTGGTCACAAAAATCAATCTGAATCAAGCCAAACTTAGGTGGAACATCTGATTTCGGGGATGCTACATGCCAAACTGGTGACCTACCTGAAGAACCAGGACCTGCATGGCTTCCGCCTGGTGCTGAACCTGGAGCACATCTACCTGCGAAGAAGTGAGCCAGGGCAGCTAAGGCCCAGAGATGACGCGGAAAATCGGGGGCTATCGCTGGGTGACTTCATGAAAGAGAATGGCTTCAAGCGTCTTGCCCCAAATTGATGGGAATCCAAAGGATGGAATTTGAAGATTCTACGGTGGCATTTTTGATGACTTCCACTTTGTAGACTTTGTAGATTGTACTGTAAGCATCTGTAAGCTACAGGATGCCTCAGGTCTGCAAATGATGCAGACTGCTCAGGAACCTGCATGAGCGTCAATTTGGCTGGAGCCCTGCATGTTTCGCAGCTTTGCGGGGTGACGTCCAGGTTTTGAAAGAGATGCTTGCGAGCCGCGTGAATGTGAATGAGCAAATAAAGGCGGATGAAAAAAGATTCCATGTCGAAAGGGGCATGTCATTGCTGCACATTTGCGCACAGTTCAGCAACAACGTTGCAATGGCTTTGCTCATCGAGAAAGGGGCCAATTTGCAACTTCGAGACGGCATTGGAGCTTCTCCTTTAGTTCGTGCTGGCATTGGAAACAATGCAGAAGGTGTGCAAATGCTGATCCAGGCAGGGCTTCAAAACATTACATCCCGCCAAAGATCCAGTTGCGCCAGTCAAAATGCTCGGCATTTTGATGTCTTGTCGGCGATTGTCGGCTTGGATTTTTGTTGCGCGAGGCTCTGTCCATCTCTGTCCATCTCTGTCCATCTCTGTCCAGTGGCTTTGGCTTCTGGTTGTTTTTAAAGTACAAAATAAATCAAGAAAAATGCTCAGAAGTCCCATCATAAATTCACTTCAAGAGGGCCTAGGAAATTCCCATACGAAGTTAACAACTTTTCGGATCCTTCAGAGCGTAGCATCAAGAGCAGAGTGTGTAGGAAATTCCTATATTAAGTCGACCCCGTAGCATCACGAGCAAGATCTTTCTATCGTTAAGAGACGTTAAGAGCGTACCATCATGTACCATCAAGAGCGTGTAGGAAATTCCGATATGAAGCCGACCCCGTAGCATCACGAGCGTGTAAGATTTTTTATCCTTCAGAGCGTAGCATGAAGAGTGTGTAGGGATTTCCTGTACGAAGTTAGCAACGTAACATCAATGAATGCAGACCAATGAACGTTATTCGCCCACCCCACCCCCGCCATCATGAAAGTAAACATGAAAAATGATCATCTGGGAAGCATTGAAAATGCATGAAAATGCTAAAATTACTCAGCACCACTCAGCACCTATCACAGGCGTGAGCACGAACAACCGCACCAGCCGATGTTCTGAAAGTGGGGTAACCCGGGTACCCATGGGTACCCCAGATGTAGCTCGAATCTAGTGAAACTCCTCTCCAGACTCTTTCAAGATCTTTCAAGCCTCGACACAGGCTGGGTGCAACCCTCACCCGTTGGACTCGTTCGGAAACAACGTCATGCGTCCAACTTCCGCATATGGTAACAGAGATGGTTTACGAGCCATTCTGGCGCTTGTGCCCGACATCAACACAGCGGGTGCCTTGCATTTTTCCGTGCTTGGAGAGGGAGCACCTCAAATCATCATACCAGAATTGCTGATGGCAGGTGGGGCGTTTTTTTTTTTTCAACATTCCAATGACCATCTAGCCTCTGGTAAACTAACATAAGTATGGAAATCACCATTTTTAATGGGCAAATCATGGTAAATCAACTATTTCTACGGCCATGTTCAATAGCTATGTTTGTTTACCAGAGGGTAATCTTATTAGTCGACTGAGTTGGGATTCCCCAGGTGTAAACATCGATGAACAGCTGAAATTTCCGCGCAAGATGCGACTTCAGTTTCGGCTGCTGGCCAACATGGCGAAGTGGTTGGATGCGCGTCACGGCAGCTATCTCTTCTTCTTCCTAACGAATCTGGGATTTGCTGCAGATGATTGTTTTTATTTAAAAAAAATCTGAGATTGGTTAATCCACCGTTTGAGGAATCTACCAGGATATACCAGGATCATTCTTTATAAAGGGACCTCAAAAATCGCAAATCCAAGGAATTTGAGTGGCAGCACCCCGCTGATCTGTAGCCTTTTGGGGCGCAGCTTTGCGGCCTCTGCCATTTTTATTGCAGCAGGTGCTGACGTCACCTTGAGAAATTCAGCAGGCGCTAGCGGAGGGCATTGTATGATCCACGGATAGACCCATGAAATGATAAGACAGGTACTCGTTACTGTATAGTGGGTATGGTTGAACTACGGGATCTTATACGTTTCATCGTGTTTCTGCTTTGGATATAGTAGGTGGTCACCAGTTGCAACAGCAGCCCCCTAAAACGTCGATGGAGCCCTGTTTGATTCCCGCAGCAGGGCCCTGGGAATTGTTTCACCAATGTTTTGTCAAAGGTGGCAATAGAAACATCCGGAACTACAGACAATATATGAATACAGTCACAATCATTCACACTCAATTAAGTCAATTGGATGGTTTACTATGGTCTACATACTCTCATTTGGGCATGGCTCAAAACTATTGGCTACTATTTGCCAATATTTGCCCTCAGATCCAATGGTCGGATAAAAGAAAGAACCAAATGTGTGCGTCCGTTCAACGCTTCTTTTGAGGCATACGGATTGAACATTTTACCCTTTGGTAATTTAACAGTCTACTATGTACTATGTACTGTAAAATCACAATTTTTAATAGGTAAATCATCTATAAATTGGTCATTTTCCATGGCAAACTGTTAATTTGCCAGAGGGGAAGTGGATTCTGTTCCCCTTCGGTGAACCGGCAAGGCAACTCAGCTATGGATGTGGCCCGAGCCGTTTCTGAGCCTTTCACTGGGCACTTTTTGTTGGATAAACCAACGATGAAACCAATGGATATCAAGTTAGCTGATATATATATATATAAATAATATAAATAATATAAATAATATGAATAATATAAATAATATAAATAATATACATAATCTAAATAATATAAATAATATAAATAATATAAATAATATAAATAATATAAATAATATAAATAATATAAATGATATAAATGATATAATATAGTATATATATATTATAACTAAAACCCAAGAATATTGAAAGATATAACAATCAATATGGATTTCACCACACTCATAGATAGCATTGGTTGATATTGGAAGTTTCATGGGCTGTGGGTGGTTGGTTAATGTCACCACGGAGCCCAAAGTCTCAATAGCATGGAGAGTCATCACACGTCTCCACACTGAATTCTGTGCAGCCTGGTGTGCAGCCTGGGCTTTGGTGTTCCCGTCGTGTGGTGGTTTGGATTGATTTGGATATTTGGGGTCAAGGGTAAGAATATCTGGTCTCAGAGACCATGGTCACCTCTGTCATGACGCTGACATCATGAAACAAGACAGGGAAAATCACATGATGTTGGAGCATTTTATCAGTTACCCTCTGGTGATCAAACATGTCAATGGAAAATCCACCATTTACACAGGATGGTGCCCCCCAGTTATAAGTTGGTTTATAACCCCCATTAACTATAGTCATATCTGCCATAAACCATAGTTATGGGAGTTATAAACCAACTTAGCTAACTATGGGGCACCACCATTTACAGATTACATCAGATGATTTTCGCATTAAGACCTCCATTTACAGGGTATGTTCCAGCCAGCCACGTTTGATGACACCGGATGGGCATAAGCTCAGTAGGGCTCAGCTAGTCACATGGCTTGAGGCTTTGGGTTGTTACTAATTGGGTATGTCTGAAAATGGGGTATACCCCCAATTATAGCCATTTAGTAGGGATAATGATCAGCAAAACCATTGGGACTTACGATGGCAGCAAACTACCATCATATGGCTTTGTTTGAGAAGTCGGGCACACTGCTTCACTATATCTCCGCTGGTGCATCGTGAAATTTTCCCTATCAAAAGTGCTTGGCTTTTCCTTTTCAAATGCACCCCATTTTTGGACACAATGTCACATATGCGTGATAGTAGATTCTACCTCAACTGGGCCTGCTATCGTAGAACCCAGCCTAGTACTTAGATCGCCACCAGACCTTGTAGCCAATCAGAAAGCAGGATGCACACCTAGTGGTGTATCAGCCGGCCAACGCGCTGGGTTAGCCTCCAATAATCAAACAGGGCAACGGGAAATCCCCAAATAGAGGATATATATATATAATAGAGGTTTATAGCTGGGAAAATCATCTGTGATCATTTTCAGTTGCTATCAGAAAAAAAGCCCTTTTACCAATGATATTTATGTTAATATTGATATATATATATATATATATAATTATATATATATATTATGGGGTTGTCATTCCATAAACTTTTTCTTTTTTAACCACACTGACCTATAACTTGTACCATGGGCCTGGCTTTTTTTGATTCCGGCAGCAGGTTCGAGCTCCGGACTTTATTCTACGAGGCCTACAAGGTGATACAGCAGCATGTGACCGCTACGTGGAGCCAAACATTGCTGATACCATCTGGCTTTCAATTTAGATGTACCCGGAAAAGCATTTGAGCCATTCAAAATATCCTGGTTGATTGGTTACTGTAGGGACTTATACTACCTAATTCGCCGGTGATGAATGATAACACACAGTAGGGAAAGCTGTCAACTATCAACCAACTAGTATTTTTTGAGATGGGACAGCACTATTTTTACATTTTGAATGGCTCATTTGAAAAGGAGAACGAGAGGTTCTTTTTACAGGATATTTGAACATGCCGGCCGAGGTTGGCAGATTCTCATCGTTTCACCGGTCATTTTTCACAGTTTCACCGGTTTCAAGTCAGCCCCATCAGCCCCAGCCTGAGGCTGGCGGTTTCTCTTTCGGGTCAAGGATTGGGAGATAGTCCGCAACTGTGGAACATCATGATCCACGAAGTAAATCATGGCCATGGTTGGTGGATTTGGTGGATTTGGAACATTTGGAACATTTGGAACATGGCTGGATTATGACTTTCCATTAATATCGGGAATGTCATCATCCCAACTGACGAACTCCATCATTTTTCAGAGGGGTGGGTAGGTATACCACCAAGCAGGATAGTAAATGGGCGAAATCTAGATTGGAAATTCGATCATCGAACTACCCTCTGGTAAACTAACATAGCTATGGAAAATCACCGTCTTTAATGGGAAAACTCACTATTTCTATGGCCATTTTCAATAGCTTTTTGTTAAATTACCAGAGAGTAATTGGCGAATTTTCCAGCCATATTTGACCAGAGAGTATCAGAGCCAGATCAGACTCATGGAAAATCCTTGGAGAATCCTTGTCCGATCGCTGCTCCCGATCGCTGCGATACCGCGGAGGGAGGACAAAACGAGAACGTGTGGGGCGGGTTTTTGCCAGGCCCAAAAAAATGTCATCCATCGGATCCCTCAAAAATAGGCTTAAAGCCTTTGCGATATGACAACAGGCTGCTCCACATTGGCTAATCGAAATGTGGAGACCCTGATGGGATCCTTTTTTTTAGGTCCTGAAATACCCACTTGCTGAATCTTGTTGTTGGTTCCTTTTCCATGTATGTGCTTATCACGAATGTGTGTCCAAATAGTTCCATAGTTCCTTCAAAAAGCAGGGCCGGACAATTTCATTGTCCAAGTGTGCACAGATTTCGGAAGTCAGCGAGGTCCAGTATATGACGTGACCACCGGAGTGGTATGAAACGATTGAGGGTATTTGAAAGACAGTCTGGTTTCAGGCCCCAACTCCGCTCCAAATGGATTAAGTATGATGAAATCAACTGTGGAAAACCTCCAGAACTTGTGGTTGAATCACTCAACCCCGCCTGAGCAGTGTTCCTTTGCCGTTGATTATTTTTTTATGGTAGGGGGTACACAATGGTATACAGTTATACATACATTTATACTACTGTGGATGATTGCGAAATCCTGCACCACCAAAAGGATGGTTGAAAGCCAAACAAAATCATGGGATGTTTACCATCTATCCGAATCTATGAAAACTGGTGCAGGATTTCGCAATCATCCAATATACCCTCTGGTAAACTAACATAACTATGGACAATTACCATGCTATTAATGGGTAAATCAACTCAACTATTTCTATGGCCATGTTCAATGGGAAATTCCACTATAAATCACCATTTTCAATGGGTAAATCCACTACTTCTATGGCCATGTTCAATAGCTTTTTGTAGATTTACCAGAGGGTAAAGCTCCATTTTCCTATGGTTTTCCTATGGCTTTCCTAGGATTTCTACGGTTTTCCTATGGTTTTCCTATGGTTTTCCTAGGATTTCTGTGGTTTTTCCACCGTTGGATGATCAAACCCACTGAGAATCTGGTCCTACCTGCAGGTCCTGGGGAGCTGCTGGGCCTTCACCCGCTTTGTGGTGGCCAATAGCCGCTTGTTGCGGCAGATGTAGGATGTCATAGTTATAATGGTTAATCATGGATAATCATATTTAGTCATGGTTAATCATGGATAATCATATTTAGTAATGGTTAATAATGGACAATCATGGTTAATAGTGGATAATAATGGATAATAATGGATAATTATATTTAGTAATGGTTAATAATGGTTAATAATGGATAATCATGGTTAATACAGCAGCATCACTAGTTGGTTTCACAAAGGTTTTCAAGTGCTTGGGCTGTTAAAGGGATCATGATGCCCTTTTCACATATTTTTGAGGGGCTTGACAGCGCCAAACAGCAGCATTGGTCTATGATATATTTGTACAGTGCTTAGTAACTTAGTACGTGCTGAGTAGTCTTAAAATGATGAAATGATGAATAATGATGATCATGGCCGATTTTCACAGGATTTTCACCCAAACGACGGTGATCATCATTATGTATTTCTGCGTTCAACTTCCATGGAATTTCTGATTATACAGCCAAATGCGTGGTAATCCATCTAAAATATTCTTAAAATCCTATCTCCTCTCAATTTTTCCCCCGATTCAGCTTCCAACTTTCTTCTTCACCATTTTTGTTGTCCAAACATCTGCCAAACAACTCACGCATCAATTTTCAGCATCCTTTTGGTTCCCACTTTTCCACCATGGGAGATCCATTCCCATTCCGCAGCCGTTCACTGCAGGCTTTCTCCTGGTGATCTTCGCTGGAGCGGCGTGCCTGGTGCTGTCGGTGCTGGCGGACCCGCGGGGCCTGGTGCGCTTTCTGCCCGAGGAGCAACGAGACTTCCTGTTCAACGGCGCCTGGGATGTGGGGACCATCTGGTGACTGGGACGATGGGATGAAAGGCGCCAGCGATTTAGGGAATAGTAAGGAAAGCAGCATAAAGTAGCAGTACTCGTGATGGTTATATCATGTTATATGCAAAAAATGGTTATGTACTGTATATATATATATATATGGTTATTTGATGATTTCACCAACAAAATTGGTGGTTTAGTATGGAGATCTCATGGGAAAATGATAGGCTATATCTGGAGATTTTTTGTCGTTTTTCAAACCATCTATATGTGAGGATTATATATACACTTTATGACGAGATGATGGGATGATGAGACGGCAAAATAAAAGTGGTGAAATTCTGAAAGTCATCATGTTTAATGGACGGTAAATGGATGATAAATGGTGGTTTAACTAACAAACATGATGATTTGACCAATAAATAACAACCATGGATTTACCCTTTGTTATGAAACAGGGAAACAAGAATTCAATGCGCACTGAACATGGGGAAATTATCGACCTACATAACCAAAGGGGGAATTTTCAGCAAACCATGTTTGAGTACCAGAGGGTAAACACATTGAATTTTATGAAGCTGGTGAAGTGGACAGGGCCCATTTTGACCCCTCCATGTTGTTTTTGGTATGCGCGGAGTTCTTACTATCTGTTGCATCACCTGGCCCCCTAATGATCACGCTAGGCGAATTAGGATATTTGTTAGTCCATGTCTGAGCCTCATACTGAATAACTGGGATGACTACTTCGGGGTGCGGTTCGAGTGAGCTAAGTGGATGTATAACCGCATAGCTATAGGATGTTAGCTATAGGATGTTATAGGGGTTATATCACAACTTCTGGTGGCTATTACCATGGTTATACCATTAATGATTAATAACCTCTGGCCTGCACCCCCAAGTACCAAAGTACAGTTGTGAGACCCATTTGCCACCGGAAATCTTGTAAACCAGTAAGATCAGATTGCAGCCAAGGAAGAATTTTCGACATCCTGCATGATGAAACTTGGCATTGCTCGTCGGTCTAAATGCTGCATAAGCAGCAGCATGCTATGAGCATGAGCAGCGTAGATTACCTCCACACATCTTTCTAATCATGACTACCACCATGAAGTCTATTAGCAGCACAAGCAGGATCTTGACACCACGTGTTGGCAGTCATTCCCTCGACAGCCGTCACAATCGTCTGCATCACCTGCTTTTCTCACTCCTTAGCCACCCTTCTGGGTTTCACAAACAGAGAGTGCCAAGTTAGAGCATTTCCTTTCTGGTTTTGACCTTGGCCCAGGGCTGATGGTACTGATGGTACTGATGGTTTTAAGATTTGTTTTATGTTGCGCAACTGGGGACGGGGTCAATCTTTGAATTCCGAGTCATGTCCGGTCCTTGGGTCCTGAGGATACACCAGTCGTCAATGCCATTCGAAAGTGGGGCCCGGTACAACTCCTACTGGCCCAAGACGGGAAGCAAGCAGAACCCATTCAACATCTCGTCCAGCATCTGGGTACCAACAGGGCCGCAAAGGGCGACCACTGACGATATTTTCTTTTCCCAATGGGAAATCCATGGAAATCCACTACTGAATCTGTATATGGAGAATGTTTTTCCTATTTGGGGGTTCCTGTTTCGCAAATCCAAGTTATGGCACATCAATATCCCCAGCCCTGGTTTCTTGATGTGAGGAAGAGTCGAGAAATCCACCGTTTATAGATGTTTTTTTTTCTTCCATATTTTTTCATATTCTATCATTCAAACGCACATTTATGGTTTAGCAATGTTTGATTAGCGGTGGGTTTTTGGGTCTTCCCAGCTATCCCACTAAACGTGTTTTCTGAAGCGCCCCTGAGACCATCAAGTAGCAGACTTTGGAAAGGGCGAAAACGTGGCGAAAATGCCTCAATCCTTCAGTGAAACGGGGATCCAACTTTTTGCAGCCTAAACATACATTTTTTTTTCAAGATTTGGAGGTTTCCTAAGCTATGCGGATACCCCTAAATAATCAATGTTTTGTTGCGATTTACCATTATAGACCATCCAGCTGATGGGGTACCCACATTTATGGAAACCACCATTTAGTGGATGGATTCTTCAATCAATGGCTACCCGTGGAGCCTCTTTTTTGTTCAGGAACATGGAGCCAGAAGTCTTGCGACTGGTGTTGTGCCGAAGCTTCTTCAGCTCCCTGACTGCAGTGACAAACTGGGCCATTTTTTCAAGCTTCCCAGGTGCCTGGTAGAATTTTCCCCGACTTTTCGGAAAAATCAGATGATATATATATATATATATATATTTGACCCACCCTTATACCTATTGGTTCTGTTGCTGCCATTCTCATTTGGTAGATCCCCATTTTTCAGTGCTGATGTGCTGAGTATTAGCCTCGATTCTCGGACACGCCTGTAGGTTGACGTTCTTTGATCGGTGGTTTCACATATACATTATCTTTTGATATCTTTTGTGGTCCAGTTTCCATCCCCCTTAAAACACATTTTAGTCTCAGAATTGGTTTCAGGCACAATTTACAGGTCCCTATATTTGCCTTAAAGATGATTGTTTCAATTGTTTCCTCTGAAATTCGATCCATGGATTCAATGGCGGCTCAACATTTCAGACTCGGCTGAGGTTTTCTTCCAGGTCCCTTGCGTCTGCTGATGCTGCCCAGTGAACAACTGAGCAGCGAGACCCTTGAGGCCAAAGGCGACGCTAAGGAAACGACCGTGACAAAGGTGACCGAGAACGTGGAGGAAGTTCCATCCGTGGAATGGATTCAAAATTTCTTGCAGGTGAGAAATCAGATGCTAAGCTGCGATTTCGGACATGAGATTTGATGATATGAATTGTTTTGGAGAAGGGTGTCAGATAAAACTTTCTTGTCTTCAGAAGAGTGGAAAAGCAGAAGATTTTGACAGAAAAAGCTGTTGGGTACCAAGGAAGAAGCAAGAGAAGATAAAATATCCTGAGCTGATGCCTTTGGTGGCAAGCACTTTGGGGCTGCAGCCTCTTGACAGGACGATGTGATGGTGTGGGATTTGCCCTGATTTGGTCTTAGGACACATTTACAGAACCTCCATGTGTTCTTTCTGATTAGAAATCATGCGCTGTTTAAAAACCCAATTCTCAAAGGGCCCCGAATCGACTTCAACAATACTTTTCCAGGATATTACCTGATCTTAGTTTCTTCACCCCATCATTTTCCAGGTTTTCACATGTTGTCACCTTTTTTTACTTTTTGGATGCAACTTAGCTAACCTTGGCTGAGCCCAGGCTGGCACCCTTCATGGCGTACGGCCGGTCCTTCTTCCGATGGGTGCAGTTTGTGGCCTTGACGAAGCTTGGAGAAATTTCGGGCTGCGCAGACCGGTTTTTGGAGCCTCTTGTTTGGGCCAGAAACATCGTATGTAAAATGTCTGCAGTAAATATACGTATGTATATATATGGTATATGCATATGATGTATTATACATATGTTAATATATACATATATATATATATGGTGCAGCGTTGGCCACCCCCCCTCCCCCCCCACCAATGGGTATGGGTGGACAGTATCGTCTGGTTCTTCTGGCCCCCCCCCCCCCTGCCCCCCCCTGTGGCCTGTGGTGGTGGTATGGTTCTTCTGGTCCCCCCCCCTGTGGCCTGTGGTGGGGGTATGTTGGTATGTTGGTATGTTGGTATGTTGGTATGTTGGTATGTTGGTATGTTGGTATGTTGGTATGTTGGTATGTTGGTATGTATGTATGTATGTATGTATGTATGTATGTATGTATGTATGTATGTATGTATGTATTGTATGGTATGGTATGGTATGGTATGGTATGTAATGTAATGTAATGTAATGTAATGTAATGTAATGTATGTATGTATGTATGTACGTAGGTATGTAGGTAGGTAGGTAGGTAGGTATGTAGGTATGTATGTATGTATATACACCACCACAGGGGCATCATACCCCCCCCCCATCCCATGGGGGGGGGGTGGGAACACGGGACACGGGACCATATATATATGCATTTGCTTTATGATTTTATTGATTTTGTTTTATTACATAATGTATACATGTGTGTATCAAGCAATGCAAGTCATACGGCATCCCAAGGATGGGCTAGGGGGCTAAAAAAACCTCAGTGATGCAACAAAAATACAGACAGTCCAGTGGCGTAGCAGCGTAGCTTGCAACGGGGTGACATAACGTGCAGAACGTGCAGAACATGTTGATAGACAGAGTGTTTGGATGCTGCAAGTGTTGACACTTGCAAACAATCCCGTGAAAGGCTATGAAAGAACTCATTGGGTCTGGAAATGGTGTACAACCCCAAGTGGCCATTGTAGAGAACCTGATTTTTCAGACAAACCCAAAAATGAAGGCTGGTGACAATTCCCAAAAGGCCTGTCATCTTGTGACAGGAGCGGCATCGGTTCGCTACTCTCAGCTGGGTTGTTCTTTCATGACACTGGTCGTTATGCGTTGCAACGAGCGGCCAGTGGACTTTTGCAGAGGCCAGGTCTGCAAAGGGTCCGCCGGGTCCGCGGATGGTCAGGTTGTGGAATCATCATGTGGTGTGTTGCCTCAAAATGGATGATGATATTGGCACTGTTTGATAGCCAATTTTGATGGGAAAATTATATACATGAAATTACTATACCATGAGATTTGAGGCTCAAACTCTTGTGACAAGTGTATACAAGTGTAGTATGGATGAGTGACTCTGCGAATTATGGTTGTGATTTCTGAATCCCAAGGCCATTTTTGGATGCTCCAACCCGGTTTTACATGGTTCTACCAGAACCCCCAGAGGGTTACCAGATATGAATATTGAAAAATTGAAACATTCTCATTCAGTAAATTCCAGATTGCCAAGGTCACCAACAGAATTTATGGTTGCAACTCAACTATATATATCATGATCATGTATACCTTGTTTTCTCCCTTAAACTGCCCAATGACCAGGAGTGTGGTGCCAGATGCCCGATGGTCAAAGGTGGCGGCCGCTGTCAGCCTGTTTTTCGGCGAAATGCCGGATCCGTGGCCGTTGATGAAATCCAAGGGACGCCATGAATGGTACTCTCTGGTAATTTAACAAAAAGCTATTGAAAATGGTCATTTATAGTTGATTTTCCCATTAAAAATGGTGTTTTTCCATAGCTATGTTAGTTTACCAGAGGGTAATTTTTGAGAAATTTTGGGGCTGAGGTTTGGTCAATCCTGGAGGACCCTGGAGAAACCAAGGGACCAGTGGCGTGTATCCGAGTTTCGTCATACTTTTTGTGCATCGTATCCCCTGTGAGGTTGGGTCCTCATGGGATCTTAAGGAACCAATTTTGCGATTAACGTCCCAGGTGCCAGACATTTTTGATCTTAAAACCAAGGGTGCCAGGGTTGTGGACTTAGATGAGGGCATGTGTCGATGTATCCAAATACGAGGGCATGTGGATCACAACAATGGAAGAACAATTGGCGATCATGACCACCGTGAACCCCCTTTCCCACTTCAAAAGTCAAATTCAAGATGTCACCCAGTCCCCCACTGTGCCATCGGGCTTCTTGGGCACATCCCAGGTTCAGTGCAGGCGGAGCGATCGTGGTGTCCATCGTTTGCGAGCGCTGCAAACGACGCTGGGCAGAGAGTGACCGAGAAGGGCGCTGACGGCGCTGACGCGCGGGTCGAACGGGGGCCGTCCAGAAAGATTGCCACAGGATGCAACATGACAACCAGACATGGTCTGATGGGGTATGGGCTAGCCCATAGATCGCCATTTCCTGAGGGAAATATGACATAATGATATCTCCAACAGACACACGGGAAAAGCGTTTGGGCCTGCTGTTGAAACTGAGAAGCTTGGGCAACTGTGCCGTGGATGTGTAGATTCTACCACCCCCAAGCAACCAGAAATAAGTGGTGGTTTCCCCAAACAACCATCCATTGTGTAGAGATTCTTCACTACCATAGGGAAATCTTCAGAACCACAGAAAGACGGAATTATTTCTGATTCTTTGGGGATATATTTATCGGATATATATATATATGTATATATATATGTATATATATCTATATAATATACATTCTATTTATATAGACATCGCTTGCTGGAATTGGTGAGGATGGTGGAGGAACATCCAGGTGGGGTGGATCCCAAACAGGCCCTGTTTCACTTCAACGAACGCTGCTGGACAGCAAACGAACGCGGCCTTTCCCTTGTTGTGGTGATTCAGCAATTTGGGTTTCAGGATCCCATGATCATCACTTTCCCCCTGAAACTTGCCATAAATTGGAGCGAATCCACCATATTTGGGCAGACCCATGTTGCTGAAAGCCATATATTTTGGTCAGTTTCCAATTGTTTGGATAGGGAAAAAACGGCCACAGATGGTGCCACGATCCCAATTGTTTAGTTTAGATGGCCACCTCAATTGCTTAACATTGGCACCAAGAGATCGTGCCACAACAAGGATAGCAAGGCAGAACCGCACAGCTCTCTCACCTGCTGCGGCCCATAGCTGCAAGGCATCAAGCATGGAATGGCAGCCCAAATGGCTTGGAATTTGAGAGTATGGAACCAATTTGAACCAGTTTGCTGCAATAACAATGGATAATACATATACATATGTATATCTATATATACATACATACAAACAAACAAACCTACATATATATATATAGATAGAGATACATATACATATACATATACATATACATACAGACAGACAGACAGACATACAGACACACACACATACATACATACATACATACATACATACATACATACATACATACATACATACATACATACATACATACATACATACATACATACATACATACATACATACATACATACATACATACATACATACATACATACATACATCACATACATCACATACATCACATACATCACATACATCACATACATCACATACATCACATACATCACATACATCACATACATCACATACATCACATACATCACATACATCACATACATCACATACATCACATACATCACATACATACATACATACATACATACATACATACATACATACATACATACATACATACATACATACATACATACATACATACATACATACATACATACATACATACATACATACATACATACATACATCATACATACATACATACATACATACATACATACATACATACATACATACATACATACATACATACATACATACATACATACATACATACATACATACATACATACATACATACATACATACATACATACATACATACATACAACATACATACAACATACATACATACATACATACATACATACATACATACATACATACATACATACATACATACATACATACATACATACATACATACATACATACATACATACATACATACATACATACATACATACATACATACATACATACATTACATAAATACATACATACATACATACATACATACATACATACATACATACATACATACATACATACATACATACATACATACATACATACATTACATACATACATACATTAAGATACATACATCATACATACATACATACATACATAGATACATAGATACATAGATACATAGATACATAGATACATAGATACATAGATACATAGATACATAGATACATAGATACATAGATACATAGATACATAGATAGATAGATAGATAGATAGAAGGATAGAAGGATAGATAGATAGATAGATAGATAGATAGATAGGTAGATAGGTAGATAGATAGATACATAGATACATAGATACATACATACATACATACATACATACATACATACATACATACATACATACATACATACATACATACACATGCACACACATGCGTACAAATGCATACACATGCATACACATGCATACACATGCATACACGTGCATACACGTGCATACCTGCATTTCATGCATACATGCATGCATGCATAATCATGCATACATGCATACATGCATTTCATGCATACATGCATACATGCATACGTGCATACATGCATACATGCATACATGCATACATCCATACATCCATGCATCCATGCATCCATGCATCCATACATCCATACATCCGTGCATCCATGCATCCATGCATGCATTCATGCATCCATGCATTACATACATACATGTATATACATCTTTATTTTTGTATATATGTATATACATACATATAATATCATATAATATGATACTGTAATTGTATCCTGCAGAAAAAGGTTTTCATGTCTGAAAACATCCATATCGAAATGGACGCAGCTATACTTGTAGGGCATGGACGCGTATTTGGCTTTTGACTCGCATGCTCGTCAATGTCTTGGATATTCATTTGCATTTCGGGCACCATCAGATAATGGAAGAATATGTTGTCTGGATTTGTGTTCCAGCCCGAGTATCGATTTATTGTGGGGATAAGTACATCATCAGATCCACCCAACACTGTATTCAATACCCTCCATATGGGATCAAAGAATCAATCCGATACTAAACCATGGAATCTAGGGGCGTATTTAAGGGTGGCCTGTCTATGCGACTAGATCAGGATGGTGCCAATTCTCGGGCGCGACAGGTCAAACTGAGACTTCACAGGAAAGACATTCCTACAGGCAAAGCGCATTTGCTAAAAAAAGGCTCAGCATCTGGCTGGAAAAGCCGCGGCAAGTGCCCGTTTTTCATGTGTCATATCCTATCTGAGAGTTGGTGGAGCTCCAAACACTCAGAATCCCAAGGAACTTGGGTCAAGTTTGTGTCAACCTAGTCGTTGGATGATCTGGTTGGTGATTTTTGATTGGATCATCAGACAAAACCACACATCCGAACCAGTGAGGTCCAGTTTGGTCAGTGCTTTAGGTGTGTCTCTCATTGTTTTTCTATAGATTAGATGTTTTCATAGGGAAGTCCTTTTCTTCGAAGCGAGAGTCTCGTTCCGAACACACTGGTACTCACTGGTACTGTTTTTTTTCCCCTTCGCCCAGGTACGCAACTTTTTGGCACTTGATCACTGGCAAAGATCCAGGAGGACGGGATGTTAGGATGTTCCCACGCTGGATGTTCCCATGATTTTCTCGAAATTTCGCCAGGTCGGGCCCAGAACGAGTTTGAATCAGCAGGGGGACTCGTTGGACGTTTGTGGTTGGGGATCTGGGTGATTCTGCAGTCGAGAAATTCGCATTCCCTATGCCAGGCCTATGCTAGTAGCATTCTTGAAAGCCAAGGTAGCCAGTGTACTAGACTTACTAGACTGAATACATGTCAAGTGAGTCGATCTGTTCCGCAAACCCAACTTTGATGTCACCAGATGCCTCTGATTGGTGGGACTGGGGTATACTTATTCAACCCGGTCCTTGGTATGCTGTATCTCTTTCCTTTTCAATTGATTTGTTGTTTGCTGTTTGTTCCTTTATTCTACTCTGTTGAGTGGCACTCCCCCTTGAGAATGTAGACATGTTCATGCATTTTCCACACTGATGTCAGTATAATTTCTCAAGCTTCACTACATCAGGTCAGGTCCATCCCGAAACAGCCAAGTTCAGTGGTAACTCGCGACTCTCAGGACACACCTGATCACTGGGCTCAGTCGTTGCTGCTCCGGGGATCGAAAGAGAGGATCCATGGGATATCCATGGATGCCATAGGGAAGCCCTGGGATATACTGGGATCATCGCAAGAAAATCATGAGGATGATGGGATGATCTGACCTTTGGTACGAATCACCCTTTCTGACGTAGTAGATTGGAAGTAGTAGGAAAGTACATTGGAAAGTAGATTGAAAACAAATCAGAAGTAGATTGGAAGTAGTTGGATGTCCACTCCACTTAAGAAACTGACCAGGACACCAATCTTCGAAGACCACGTTGCATGCTTATCCCCAAGCGGGGAATCCTACCCGTGCTATGTATAACTATGAAGTTAATTATGTATATACTCTATACTATACATCTACAGGGGGGGTCCCCAAACCACGGGTTTCAATACTGACATACACTGACATATACTGCAATTGCTCAAAGGATCTAATGACTTCGGGGATTTGGATGGGGGATTTGGATAGAAACCCCCCAAATCCATCCAGATCCTCCACAGTTTTGGGCACCGCACGGATCAGACGCTAGGACGTGTACCCAAGCGGGGGTGCCCCTGTGGCATTGCTCGTGTGCTCGGAGCTGGGTAGGCACGGGGGGACATTCAAAGTCATTCAATTTATTGTCATTAATGTCCCATATTGTCCCATATAGTCCCTAAGATTTGAGGATATTATGAGATATGAAACCTGATAGACATTCACTTATCCCCATGTCGATGGTGCCCATAATTGATGGATAATTGAATGTCATATTACCCATTGATAGATTCAATTATCTATGGAAACCACCATAATATCATTGATAAGGCATTGATATGGGGATATTATCGGATATTATCTATGAAAATATTATCTCTTTGATCAATGAAAATGGAGATGCTATTCAATGATAGACATTCATATCAATTATCTTATGATAGCCCATATAAAATCCCATAATATCCTCATAATTATCCCCATAAGTATCTTATTGATAGACATTCAATTATCCCCATGTCACTGGTGCCCATAATTGATGGATAATGAATGTATATGATTGAATATCATATTACTCATTGATAGATTCAATGATCTATGGAAACCCATCATAACTATGGAAAGTCACCATTTTCAATGGCTATGTTAGTTATACATCACCATTTTCAATGGGTTTTTCTCACAATATATCACCATTTATCATCCATTTTTACTGCATATTACATCATATTACCAGAGGGTATCTATGGAACCCCCCATAAAAAAAGGGGGTGCTCATGGGATCACCAGGCTGGTGCCCCATTTCTCATCGTGGCCAAGTCGAGGCACGGCCAAATACCCCCTGGTTATGACTAACATAGCCATGGTATAGATGGCCCATAGAAATAGATGGTTTACCGAACTTAAAAATGGTGATTTTCCATGGCTATGTTAAATAACCAGATGGTATATATCTATAGTGACGGACAATCACTTAGAACGTATTTTGGAAAAAAAAATCTGAATATTACTGCTTTTTTTACGTTCTAAGCCTTGCACTTAGAACGTCGAAAACCATACACTTAGAACGTCCAAATATCAAGATTCATCACTTAGAACGTACCGGGGATTTAACACTTAGAACGTGTCTAGGTCACTGATTTAACACTTAGAACGTCGAAAACCATACACTTAGAACGTGTCTATGTCACGTCATATGGTAATTGTTCATAATTATAGTGGCGGACAATCACTTAGCACATTCTAAGTGTTGGTTTACGTTCTAAGTGATAAATGGGCCTAAGTGATATTTTGACGTTCTAAGTGATGAATTTTCCCTACGTTCTAAGTGATGAAATTTTGCTACGTTCTAAGTACGATTTTTTTTTTTTGGAAAAAAATTTACGTTCTAAGTGATTGTCCGTCACTATATATATATATATACATACAATCTATAGTTATAAGATAGTTATAAGAAAGTTATAAGATACTTACTTAATATATTAAGAGTAACTTGATATAGATAATGGTAGATTCAGTTTTTTTCATCTGGTTATTTGACGTAGCGAAACCATCAAATTGATAGATAAATCATATTTTGTATCATCAAACTAATGGACCATGGCTTCCATAGCTATGGTAAATAGCCAGAGGGTAATAGATGCAATAACAGTTATTTAATATCTACTATGTATATCATATAGGGTACATATACATATCAATATCATATTATGAATAAACTATATATTTGTACGTAGTTATATATTTATTTACATGGTATTTGTGTAGTTGTATGATTTGATATGGACCATCAATTCATATCAATTTAAAACGTCAATTTTACTGCAACCCATGATTTCTTGTTTCGGTGAGGACATTTTCAAGATTTTGCGAAGGAATTTTCGGCGACGGATTTTCTGGGCTCATCAGAACGGATCAACGCCAACTTACACCTGGTAGAACATTGTCGCACAAGGGTAACATGAAACTAAGTAGGGCCTGGGCAATTGAAATTATGACATAGTAGCTTGTAAGTGGCCTTGCGTTAGGCAGCCCATATGGGATCCTGGAATGTGCAAATGTGACATTCTGTTAACCCATGATATACGAGTCGACCTTTGATGCTCGGGGATGCGAAAACCAACGCCACGTGTTCAGGTCGGAAAACGAGCTCTTGAGGAGGCTCGGGTGTGGTGCTGGCTAGACATATTTGAAGGAAACAGTCTGCATAATTGATGGGCTAATGGAGTTCAAATCAACCTATCATGGGATCGTCGACAGTTTTTTCATTCATATTGAAATTTGACTGGATTTTTTTCAATGATCCAAGTACTCCAAGTCAATTTCTCAACGGGTAGTTGGTTGCGCACGGCGCACGTTATTTCTATAGAGAGGGAGTGAAATCTTCAGACAGAATCTGCACCATCTGAATGATCCACAACTCAGGCAGGTGGCCTTTCATGAATTTCTTAGTCCAGTTTTCTTTTGGAAGTACTATGTTACCATCTGGTTATTTAACATAGCCATGGAAAATCCCTTATAAATGGAGGTTTTAATGGGTAAATCTACTATAAATGGGTCATTTTCCATGGCTATGTTAAATAACCAGAGGGTAATTGTCAATTGTTGTTAGTTGGATTATGTGAAGTGTGCTTAGTTGGATATCTGCCAAAAATGGCATTGCACTTTTTTTTTTAAAAGCAAATCATCTACATCTGTTGGGTGCTAAAAAACATTCAAAGAATGCAAGCTAACTAAGCAAACTAAGCACCTGTTTCCGAAGGATCCATATGACAAAAATGACCCACTCATCCCGGGATGATGTTGTATTTGTTTAGAAGCACCTCATCGATATCACATGGAAAACATGGGGTTTCGAATTTCCGGTATCACTTGTTTTCTACCCTAAGATATCTAAGATGTTTCTCCCAACATCATCCGAATACTCAATATCCATGTTCACATCTCCATGTTCAGAACACACTTTGTACACACTTTGTACACACTTTGACCACTGAAAATATCTGAACATGTCCAAACCCTACTTCATTTGGAGGTTTCCAAAGTCATGGGGGTACCCCAAATCATCCCATTTATGGATGACCATGACTTAGTTCTGATTTCCAGTGATGACTTGGGGATAATCCCATTACAATCATAATCATTATCCATATCCCAATATTCATATACCATTGTGATCATATCCCATTGAATGGACATACCCTCTGGTAATTTAACATAGCTATTGAACATGGCCATAGAAATAGTGAATTTTCCCATGAAACATGGTGATTTTCCATAGTTATGTAAACGTTTACCAGAGGGTAGATTGAAGCTAAAGCATGGATGCTGACATCTTGGGGCTGACATCTTGAATGGATAATAATGGGATAATAATTATAATACCATATTAATGATGGGATATACCAGTGAATAATGGGAAAAATCCCTTGTGATCATATCCCATTGAATGGACATATGTGACATATCCCATCGAAGATTTTTGCCGAGAAAAAACACCATCTAGGCCCAGAACTTCTTCGAGACGGAAGCGGCCAAACTCCGTATCGATACATCGCCCTGCCGGCTCCAGAGGCTGGTAGTTTTTTTCGGGGCGATGGGGAACATCCAATGGGGATGAAAATGGGGGATATCCTGGAGAAATGTGGGATATACTAGATCAATCATGGAGATATAGCCTCTGGTAAACGGGCTAACATAACTATGGAAAATCCCCATGCTATTAATGGGAAAATCCCACTATTTCAATAGCCATTTTCAATAGCTATGTTAAATTACCAGAGGGTATGTATTGGGGATAGAAATGGGGGAGAGTCAGGATTGATCTACATAGCTGATGAGAAGCTCGGATGGAGTCAGTGTACTCGGTAACCACAAGCATATCCATGTGGCAGGGCGCCCGACCAGGCTGGAGAAGATGTTGGGCTGCGAGTCGCAGCTGGATAGCGTCAAGAGTTTAGAGTGGCCACGCCAGCGGTGGTTGGATGGACACCGAAGTTTGCGACAATTGCAGTAGTTGCGAAAGTCATCAGATGTCTATAGATGTCTATATTTAGATGAGCATTTTTGCCAATTATAACTACAGCCAAAGATGGTTCCCAGCAAAGTTGGGGGATGTTGGGGGTTTCATAATGGCCACACGCCAGAGAAGATCTCGGGAGCAATGCCCGTGCTCGAGTGATCTTTATCACATAGACTGATTTTTTTTTGTCTTGCATAGATCTATAGAATCTATCACATAGATCTATACCAAATGGGTTTGACTCAAACTTCTTCCCGGATTCTCTTCTGACTCGTGCTCCAGACATCTTTACTAATTGTGGTGAGTTGCACACAGATATCCCAAGAATTTTTTGACCAGTCTTAGCTCATTGTGTCAACCTGTTGGCTAATTAAATCCAATCTTTTCGCCACCTGGCGAGTTTAAAAAACCTCAGCACGGCACTCATTTTGCTATAGATATCTGATCCGATCCTCTGATACTTAACAGAATCTATTGCCAACTTGGTTAAAAATGACAGAACCATTCAGTTTTTCCCATACTACTCATTTTAAATATCATGATAAGAGATGTGATTTTATTTCTTTGGGGCGTCAAAAATTCGGGTTTTTCTCAGGGAGAAGCTGCAACATCCTGGCAGCAGAGCTTCGGCCTTGCTTCGCTTCAGCACCTGGGATCCGACAAAACCCTGGGACCCAAATGGGGGCCCCGAAGTCGTAGCTGATTTTTGTTGGATGTTTTTTTTCCCCAACATATGGTAAAAAAAATTAGGTTTTGACCCATACCCGTATGTTTAACGGGAGCAAATGATGATGATAGAACAGATAGTGATAGGGGCTAAGTTACTGGCTTTGAGACAAAGTCCTTGTGACTCCTCGGAGCATTCGATAGAAATCCCACTCATCTGTGGATGGACGTTCATCAACTGGGATCAGAATCGTGGGACTTTTGAACAGAGTTTCTAGGCTCTGTGTTCTGGAAGGGATTCACTAACAGATGGGATATTGGTGAATTCATTTTGGGGACAATTGGTCTTAAGAAGGAGCTTCAACCATCCAGGTGGCTTGGTGTTTGGTAGGTTTGACAGTGCAGAGGGATAATATATATTTGTATATATAATTATATATATATATAATTATATATATATGTATATACGAGCGACAGCTTTTATTCGGTTAAATGGAGACTTGTACTGTGGCGTACCCGTTTTGTCAAAAACATCAAAATTAGTTTGTAAAACGAGGTAGGAACACCCCGAGAACGAGGTTGGCATCGCAAGTAAAGCATCTGGATATAACAACAAGTGCGGCATTGGAGAACGAGGTCAGACCCCAAAAAACGTGAGGGGATTGGAGAACGAGGTAGGAACACCCCGTCAATTGCGTTTTGTACCAAATAACTTCCGCGGCTCATATATAATATATTAATCATATGTATATATATATATATAGCCAAAATAAGTCTAGAATTTTCAGACTTCGTCTAAATCAGGAGCTAGAAATCAGTCTCAGTCTTTTTTTTGGGGGGGTCCCTAGTATTGTGCCCCTCGCACCCAGGGCTTCTCACCGATCAGGGCATGGAATTCCAGCAGCTTGGTGATGGCATTTGGGGCACCCATAAAAGGTGGCTTAAAAAACCATAGGAAAACCGTAGAAATCCTAGGAAAACCATAGGAAAATGGATGTTTACCCTCTGGTAAACAAACAAAAAGCTATTGAAACCATGGCCCAGTCGAAATAGTTGATTTACCCATTAAAAAATGGTGATGTTCCATAGTTATGTCAACGTTTACCAGAGGGTAGATTGAAGCTAAAGTATGGATGCTGACATCTTGGGGCTGTTGAGTTTTCGACATGTAGATCTTTTATGAAAGAAAACATCTGAACTTTCTGAACGAAAAACCCTTGAACTCCAAGGAATCCATCACATTGATCCGAGGTTTTTTGCCTCCATATCCTTTCACTCCAAAAGCGGACAGATCAAGGACACCTGAGGGCAACGAGTGGAAGCTCACCCATCGTTGTGAATCAAGAATTCATCAAGCTATGTTAGAATGGACGGTGGCACAAAACAATCCAGAAGCGAATCATTCACAGCCACAGCCCAGATAAATGACGCTTGGGTGGCGCTGGAGCTCTACATTGAAGTCACCTTTTTGTTGATTTGTGGCTTTGTTTCAGGGGGAAGTTTCAAACCTTGTTTTTGCATCATCCTTCTGAACTCATACTTTTATTTAGAGATTACTGACTTTCGCAATTGGATGATCCATAATCATCCATAATCCCCATTTCTGGATCGATTTTTGGATAGATTTATTCATTTCAAAACCACATATATATATATATATACACATATCATATATTCATTGATTTCAGTGAAATCCCCAATTTCCATGCTCATTTGAGCTTTCTTGGATGGCTAAAAAACGGCCAAATTTCCGCGTTTTCCTCTGTAGCTTTCATCCACATGGAAACCAGGACCTGGACGGAGTGGTGGAGGAGGTCTTCAAGCTGCTGCCCAGGCGGATGACAAGTCTCGGTATGTCATAATTGTTACAATGCTATAATTATGCAGATGTATAAAATTATACAGATGTCTTGTAATTGTTGATTTGTTATTTCTCAATGTTTCTTGGTGATCCTTTTTTTAACAAAAAAAGGTTCTGAGTGATTCTTTAGTGATTTTCTCGAAGTTTGACGCGCGCTTTGCAGATCTCCCTATGGCCCCAATGAGAAGTGTACACCGATAAAACTGGACCCTGGCTTTTGTGCTTGCGCGGACCAGGCGGGGCTGGGACTTGAGCTTTCTGGAGTTTCTTCTGGGGGATGAAGATGGAGGGCCGAGGGCCCACTCACTTTCTCGCCAGCTTCCTTGCCAGATCAGAAGGTTGATCCCGGCCCACTTGACATCACTTGACTATTTAGACATATTTAGACGATTTGTACATTTTTCAACTCTTGAATGCAATTAAAATAGATCATTGGTATTGGTGGCCTGTGAGTTCTCTTAAAAAAAACTTGGGATTTGCTGAAAATAGATATATTTGTTTTCTTCTTCTGGCGTCTTTCAACAGCCACTTATACCAAAAGACCCTGAGCGCACGACAACACTGCCATTGGCAGGGACGTTGTCACTGGAGAAAGCAGGAATGGACAGCCCGAGCGCACAGCTCTACGGCACATATCCACTCTGCACCACCAAACCAGCATGGCTACAGCATGCTACCCCTAGAGCCCCCCGACTTGGCCATGGTGCGGAGAGCATCGAGGACTGCAAAGTGTAATTTGCTCTGGCGCTGGTCAAAGCACCGCTTCACTTTAGCGACAAAAACTTTGTCAACCAGATCACTGACTTCACTGCCTGGAAATGCTCTTCAAGGATGGTCCGGTCAGAGGCCTCAACGTTGGTATCTTCAAGTGCCACTTTGATCATCGCAGCCCAGCTGTGGTATTGCGGTTCTCCCAACTCTTCTAGGCCCTTGAAGTTCTTGCTTTCACGAGCCGTCTTGGCCTTGTCGGCAAAGCTCTTGGTGGCTTTCTGCGAGGACATATTTGTCAATATATTTATCACTACCATCGGTGATATTTTATGTCCACCTCTTGGGGAATACATACATCATATTATCCTATATGCAGATACACATATATATACATATGTATTACATATATACATATATATATATAATATATATATAATATATATATATTATAATTAACACGTTATATTTATACGGGATATGTTTAAAACATTTTCTACGTCCCCCCTGGATCACTCCAAGAGGATCACCAGAGGTCCAAGTTCTTCACCCTGCCGAGGCGGAGCTTCGCAACCACTGAGTCCAACACTCGGTCGCTTTTCTGCGGTCAAAAGGTCAAAAGGTCACCGAAAAACTGAGGTCGGAGAAAGGTAGGATTCTGGACCCCAAAATGGAAGAAACATGGACCAACATAGACCAACATCTGGGGTTTTAAATGGTTTTGTGAGAGAAAGCGGAGAACCAGAGAACGAGTGAATCTAGCAACACAAACCTTCAACCGCACGGCGTCAATCCAGGAAATTGTTTGGGTTTTGAGAGATCAATAAATGGAAAGGCTTGTGATTTGTAGAAATGATTCAATAATTTTTTCGGTCTTGAGTGATCAATGATGATTTCATTTGAAAAGTTTGTAGATTTTCGAATGTTTGCATTTTATTTGAAACATTTGAAGACAAGTCACCTGTGGCTTCCTGCTTCCTCAGGTCTCGACATAAATAATTAGCTATCAGTTGAATTTGCCGCCGACCATTCCCATGAAACAATGATATTCCGGATTTTCTGTACAAGTCGAAGCTGGTTGGTGGTACCATCCTTACCTAGGATGAGCCCAACTGATTGCTGCTTCTTTCTGATGCAGTCCCTTAGAATCTCGAATCCCTTGGCCAATCTTGTCGTTCTTGACACACGTGTGGGTAAAGGTTCTCTTTGTCAATTGACAGCTTTGGCTCTGAGTATCATGGCGCAGTTGCGTGTGCAAGGCGTAACCATGAACAAACCGAGACACGCAACGATGCATGTACAAGATGAAGATGTAGCAAACCAGAGTCACACTAGATGTTGCCTAGGATGTAGCAATCAACCAGAGCATCAAGCTGAAAGCGGGCGTTGATTCTTTTCAAAGCTGAAACCATAGATGTCCCCGACCTCAAAAACAAAGTAGATGTCCTAAGTTGAGCCCACTGGTGCAGCACCGTCCGAGCCGTCTTTCAGCACCTCCAGGTTCTACAGAAGTATCGATTGCACTGACTGCCAAGTTAGCCAAGTTGAACACGCCAAATTGGCCCCGAAACTTTCGGTTTCGACTTGCCAACTCTCAGCATGGGGCGTAAGGTGCGGTGCAACCAGTGGAAGGGTGTGGAAACTAACTATGGAATCTTGCTCAAATCTGCTTGGAAGTCAGTCCAAAATCGCTTCCTACTCAGATTAACGAATTGGTTCGAATTTTGGGGTACCTCAATTCTTAATCAACCATTTTTGATGAACAATGCTGATATATTTTCCAGGTGAAAGACCATTTCCACTTGGTACTTAAGTAAATTTGCTAGCTTGCCAAACTTGCCATCGCAAACTATATTAAATTACATATGACATAGTATGTTTTTTTTCCTCTCTATCTGAAGAACTGTATCGGGCGATGGCGTATTCCCATTCAAGTTGAGTCCAAGCTTCCTGTCCAAGCTTCCACTGTCCCATTCAAGGTATGGTACAAAGATGGGGTACGAATGGCCACACCAAGTTGGCTGTACGTAATTATTGAATTGAATTACCCCCGGGTAAATTAACAGTTTGACCCTGAAATTGACTCTTCCAACCCCGATGACTGGCAGGGTCTATGTTAATTTACTGGAGGGTAAACCATTTTTTCTGGCCATCCTCTCAGCAAACCAGAATATGTCACAAATGAAATAAGCTCATGTTGTGGTGGTTTCTCATCCATCAACCATCGAAAAAGAGCTCGGTCGGCCAGTTAAGTCATGATTCTTCATTGCCCAGCCAGATACACACACACACACCCTTGAAACATGATGACACATGTACACACATACATACATATATACAGTGTGTGTATATATATATATATATATACTCGCATAATTTTACATACCCAATGATATTTTCCAGAATTAAGCAGATATGAAAACATCATGATCATGTGATGTCAAATTCATGAACTTTCCGGAAAATCCCAATGGCCCAATCCCCAGTCTGATCAGGCCAAAGCGGCGAGTAGCGCCAAAGCCCTTGAGGCGGCTTTCGGCATGAGTTTTCTGCCATTGAGATATGATGAATGGGTAATGTTCCAGTGAGTAAGGAGACTTTTCAGTGTTAAATTATATGATAATCATATTATATATATATATTAATGTATATATTTATATGAATTATATATATATAGTGTTAGATCATTGGGACGGGAGAATTTTCAGGATATTTGGGCGAATATTCCCTGCCCTGACAGAGGCCTTATATATGTAAATGGTAAGTACCTCCAATAAATCGGTACCTGAAATGACCAAATGACCGTTGATAGAATGGGAATATGATGGGTATGAATGGCAATTTAGTGGGCATATTAATGGGTAACGGGAAAACATGGGTAAGTCAATGGGACGAGAATGGGATTTAATGGGTTTTGATTTTGATACACATATATCATATAACTATAACCTATACCATCAATACCCAGCAACGATATTTGGGTTTGGTCCCTGAAAATGATGAGAACAGCCTTAGATCCTATGGTCGACTGACCATGATTTTGCCCATGAAAAATGCCAGAAGTTGGGCTTGGAACCATCTTACTCTATTTTTGAAATGGAAAAGGCGGAATGGAACACTAGTTGTTTTGAAGATGGGAATATACGGTAGGAGTCCAAGCCTTGCTGGTGACTTGGAGGGTCCCACTGGATGGTGTTTTTGGAGCCCACTGTTGGGATGTCGTGGGCCCTATGGGCCACAGGGTTGCTATAGCATCCCCAAATAGGGCTTGGTACAAAGCTCTGCGTGTAGGCAATGCCATGGTAGGACTTGCCATGACTTGCCGAAAAAACGGACATCTAAATCCATCAGTTTCCCATTTCTTTGTGACAGGTCTGTGGCGACACAAGTCGTTTGGGTGTCTCTGCAGCAGATGTCTTCGCGCAGTTCAATGCGTATCTCGGAACTGGAAAATAGCGCGAGGACGTGGTGATCATAGGATTTTTCAACATGGGCCATGGGACCATTACCAATTTCGATCGAATTGATCTCATCATATCTCATCCCTTCTTTTTGTAGACCCAAACATGAATGGATGTTCTATGATGTTCAATCCTATCCCAGGGTTTTCCCAGGGTTTCAAATGGAGGGATTTCACCCTTTTCACTGAAAGCATCATTGATGCTTCCAGGTTATTCCAGGTTCATCCTGTTGCAGAAGAAAAAACAATTCGTGCATCTTATCCTGGGAGAGGGAAGAAGTCAAACACATGCAAATATGATATACTGTACTTGATATTCTGATATATTCTGATATGAATGATGTGCTACAATATACCCTTGATATGTAATAAAATCTAATATACAGCTTATCCATATCGCTCCATACATATACACGTGTGTTGCACACAAGCGAAAAACGGTGTCGGTCCAAAGCACACTGGGAAGGCTTTGGTGACCTGACCAGCTGCAAGGCCCATCAACTCTTATTCTGAAGAGCCACAGAGCGTGGCGCTGGACGATGTTGAGGCTGGGCGGCTGGGAGAAGTGACAGCAGGATGTGAAAAATGTGAAAAGTCAAGCCATGTCATGCCCGGATTTTTCATGATTTTTCGACACCCTTCTTGAGCTTCTTCTGGGGATTACCCAGAAATAATAATTACATCATATGAAATGGTGATGAATTAATATAAATTACACATTACAATTAAAAGTGGTATGCCCTATAGGTACTGGTGATTTAGCAATCCTGAGTTTACATGATGTGAGTTCAGGAATGTTTCCAGCATCTTCAACCCTTCTCCGAAAGGTGCATGTGGCATTAATGGCTATCCCACCAATGGCAGAAGAAGGATTAATCAATCATATGTAGGATTGGACCTGCGTTGCCGCTACTTCAGAACAAGCAGAAAAAACTGCGAAGGTGTCTTTGGCTTTGCAGGCCTTGCAGAAAAAGGACCTGCCACTGATCGCCACCTTGGCGAGTCTGTTTCTGATGGTCAAACAATTTGAAGCCTTCAACGCCCCAAGAACCACCAAGCTGATTCACTTTGTGAAATGAACCAAATTTGGTTTGGGAATTTGGAGAAACACCCAAATGCTCTAGTTCAGGCATAGAATCAATCGGTAATGGGTCCAACAAAACCCGACTTCCCAGCTACCCATAGCTACCCTGAAAGATCTGAAGAGGGTAGTGTGCATTTGCGAAGATACTTCATCTGGTTGGTGGTTTGGAACATGGCTTTTATGACTTTCCATATATTGGGAATTTCATCATCCCAACTGACTTTCACGAACTCATATTTTTCAGAGGGGTGGGTCAACCACCAACCGGTCATCATCTGAAACCCAGTGAATTTGAAGGTTTAGATCTGAGATCTGATCTGTAGATCCATTCAGAGGAATCACAACTTGGAATGGTGCACGTTTCCATAGGAAGTTGTGAGAATCATCCATTGATGACCAACCTGGATGCCGTGGTATTCCAGCTCCACACTGTTGCCGGAAGAAATCCCAGGAATCGGAAGTTGATAACCCGTGTATCTGCCATATCCAACCCGGGGGGTATATCCCGCATATAGCTGGGTTACAATATGGTTATTACATGTGATTACCCAATTACCAGCTGCACATCCAAGTGATTCCTGATTGCTCCAGAGGACAACTGATTACTGAAAACATTCTGTTGGTCACATCGCATCGGAACATGTTGTGTTTGAAAATGTTTGAAACAAACAACATGATTTTATAAGCCCATTTTACCCTCTTTGCATTTTTCTAGAGTGACATTTTTCGCTTGCGTGATCATCATTAGATCCCATCAATCCACCCCAATCTTCACCATTTTTCCTGGTGAATTTCGCCAGATTTTTTTGGTGAATGACCAGGAAACCCTCTGGTAAACCAACACTTCGCTATTGAACATGGCCATGTTTGGTTCGTTGATTTACCATGATTTACCTATTCGATCCTTTTAGAAATGGTGATTTTCCATAGCGAACTCTTAGTCATTACCAGGGGGATATACCATTTGTATCCGTCACTCAAGATCGTTAGATCACCATCAACATCCATTTATAGATCAGTTTCCTTGCCATATTTCTGGATACATGAAATGGTTGTCATTCCCACATAAAAACATCATAATATTATCATATTTCTGGGTACATTAACCATGATCCACCATTTTTCCTGGTCAGCTTCCCATTTTTCTGGTGAATTGCCTGGTTTTTTTTTGGTTCACGTTCGCAGGATCCTACCACACGGCTGCGCAACGTGCAAGAACTGCACCAGCTGCTGTCCACACGGTCCACCCAGAAGCGGGGACAGCTCAGACGGAGATTAGTGAAAGATGATGGGGATAAGATAGTGATTATACATATGCAAATATGATTATATATTATTGTGTGTATATATATATATCGTATACTAAGTTTGTTGCATTTTAGCAGTAGTGATTATACTCGTACAGAATATATAGTGATTTAACCAACACAAACGTTGATTTACAGTAAGCAACACAAATGTTGATTTAAGCAACACAAATGATGGTTTAAATGGTTTAAACGAGGAACATGGTGATTCAAACAAGAAGAAAAAAGAACTGGATACAATGGGGATACATCTGGGTGATTTAAGTAACGACCTCACGTCGCAACGTCACTGGAACAGAATTGCTAGTGGTTAGGAGATATCACCAGATCGATGGCCCAGAAATTCAGGTTGGTGAATTGTTAGGTATCTAGAGTGTGGATATGCAAATGATTTATACCCACCAAATGGCAATTTGGATAGGGAATATCATGATAAACCATGGGATGTTTGGGGTAGCCTATTTTCAGACAAAGCCAAATTAAATGGATTCATGAATGTCACCATATCACCATCGATAGCGGGCAGCTCGCACATGATGGATCTTCATGTGCGCTTTGCAATGATGTGTACGGGTGAGAACGATTGGATATCACAAAGCAAACATGGTGAGTATTGGCTTCTTGGTGATACCAACCCTCGAGTATGGAGAGTAGTCCCATCGCCCCAATACAAAACAGAAAAAATGGTCCCACAGATATTGGTCGACCATCCCACGGATAATTTGAGGGAGCCCTACTTTAGGAACCCGCATGAAAGCCCTAAATTGTACAGGATGGGCCCCCCCAGTTATAAGTTGGTTTATAAACTCCCAGTAACTAGTTCGTGATAATTAGTGATATCTACCATGAACCATAGAATTCAGCCACTTAGAACGCAGTTTAACGCTATTTTGGGGGCCCCAGCTTGGATTTTGGGGAATCATCAGCCATGGGGGTACCCCAATAGCTCGCTGGATGGTTTATTTCAGGGAAAATCCCATGAAAATGGATATAAATGGATGATGACTGGGGGTAGCCTCATGACTCAGGAAAGTTATAAAGCTCCATTCTGGGGTACTGGAATCCGGGAATCCGGGTGCCTTAAGCTTTTGACTTTTGTGGAAAATCTCCATGCTTTGGAGACACTGTGTCCGGAACAGACCCCAACCACTCCAGGTTAATCGACATCTGCGTGTGGATCCCTAGACCTTGTCACCATGAGGGTTGATGAATGCAACTGATACCCTCTGGTAAACTAACAGTTTGCTGTTGAGTTTATCACTATTTTTAGTGTTTTTTTCTCCACGAACTAAATGACAATTTTCAATAGCAAACTGTTAGTCATTACCAGAGGGTAAGTATTTGAGTGTGACGAGTTTCTTCATTTTCTGCTCGGGAAGGTGCCGGATTTTACCTTTTCAATTCGTGACATGAGGCCCTGGACGCCTCAGAATTCTCAATCATTTCACGACTCCATCTTTGGGAAAATGGAGGTATGATAATATGGAGTCATTTCCTTAAATAGGGGTACCCCCAAATCATCATCCATTTGAATCAGATTTTCCCTGAAATCAACCATCCAGCGATAAAGGGGTACCACCATGACTAGTCGGAAAGCCTAATGTTTAACTACAACCTGGCTGATTCAGCCTGGCGCTCCACGGATGAAGTCCTTGGGACAGAATCTGATGGCCAAACAAAGTCACAAAAAATATCTTATGCACATCGTGCTGACATGGGATTAGTCCCCGTTTTCAATACCCCTGAAATATTCCTGGCTATCGGGACATAGAAGAGAGTTTTTTAGTATTGCCGAACAAACGGCTTACTTTATTCAAGAGGGGGTCTATTAATCCCTTCCCACTATTATTTGCATGGACATGTTCCGGCAATCACACGGCAATGGAACATCTCCTGTAGATGATTTTCCCATGGAAACTTCGATGGTGGATTTCCCATCTAGCCAGGTATGCAATGATCTCAGTGAACTCACAACTTTTTTTGGGCAGGGCGGCTTCGCCGCCCAAAGAAAGCCTGGCAGAAACAAGTGAGCCATTAAAAGCACCAACACCATTTGTTGATTGGTCATTTTTTTGAGGTGTTCTACCACCCTTTTTCCTTTGGGGGTTATGATCACCCATCATAGGGATACCTATTGGCCAACCAGTATTTCATAGGAGGGGGTAGGGGTATAAACCATGGCATAAGCGTGTCCTAAACTAAGCCAGAGGAAATACATGTCGTGACATGGCTTCAATGCTTCGGGGGAATCGACGAAATTACAGTATCGATGGATGGGTCCTCTTCGCGACAAGGGTTGCTGAAGGATGTATTTTTTGAAACTCATCCCAGAATACGAGGCCTGGATTGACGACTATTGAGCAGGAGCTATATATATAATTATATATATATATAAATACACACAAATCTAATCATATATATATATATATATATATATGATATATATATATATATGATATATATATATATACTATATACAGGTAAATAATTGTACGTACACATATACTATATACAGGTATATAATTGTACACATCAGCAGACACACACACACACATATATATATACACATACATACATACATACATACATACATATTTAGGCTACAATCCCCCAAATGTCCACTGGTTTTGTCCTTGATGGTCCTTTTGAGGCTGGTACCTCTCGACAAAAAAATAGAGGCTTATGGCTGGTAATGCACAGCTACAAAGAAGACTACACTATATATTACCATAATAGCAATATATAGTAATATATGGTAATCCCAATAATAGATACGATATATGATGAATATATAGTTGAAAGAAATGCCATATCTTCAATTTCAAAATCAATTCTGCACAAGAAAGCTGCACTTCTGCACGAGAGTGTTTTAGATTTGAAAGACAAAAGGAATCTTGCTGGTTCCAAGGGAATACTGCATCTTTAAACGAAACCTGGCAATTGAAAAACATGCTACATGACTTCCTCAGAATCATACTGTGCTTTTGAAAGAGTATATATTCAACTTGTTTGAACGAAGTACTGCATGCTGGGTGTGGAAAGTAGAGGGGAAACTGCTTTTTTCAATCACACATCCTTAAATGAAAAATGTCTCCTTGAGAGGAACACAACGCCTTTGAACGAGTGCGGCATCTTTCAAAGAGAATAGGAATTTTGCATCCTGTGAGTGATCAAGGTGTTTTTCACATAGTCGACATACGTACTCAACTTAGTGAAAAGTTCTACGCACTTGAATCAAGAGGCAACAAGTGATAGTACATTTGTGTGAAGAAATCCTGCATCTTTGCAGTCAAAATCAATCCTGGAAGAGAAACCTACACTTGGTTAAGAGTGCTTGAAATTTGAACGATACGAACTTGACATTAATCATTAGGTTCAACTTTTCTTCGCGTCATTCTCTTCCAGATTGGGGACCTTTGAAGTACATGTCTATATATATATATACAAAATTCTATTTATATACATATATTATATATGTATATGGTACCCCCATGCAATACCATACCGCAAAGTGTAGAAACAAAAATTGAACAATTGGGGGTACCATTATATATATACATATTGATATACCTTTACATATGCTTATATAGATTATTATATATTATACATATACACTGGTAGGACAAAAGTTGCGCTTGTTGAGCTTCCCACAGTGAACATGTTTGGCTTCTTCTTCTGCACACCCTTTCCCCGTAGAATCCTAGCATGGAGCTTTGTCGTACCCCGGTCGCATTTCCACCCTCCAAAAGCTTTAAAATCTTATATATTTAAAAGAGGGTGATAATTGACCGTCCCACACCTGCCACACAAAACGGACTTGAAAATGCGATCCGCGGTTGACCGACATGGATGTCTTGTAAAGCTTTCAAGAAGCATAAACTTTGTTCCTCCTGAAGGGTACGAAAAGCTTATTTAGTGGGAATTGCCACGTCATTTGCTGACTTCTGCACCTGCTTCAGCTTGGTCATTACTCCACATAACATGTCTGTCTCCATCCTCTTTGTCTGCACTGCTACACATGTGCCGTGACGCAGGGTACAAAAAGCTTATTTAGTGGGAATTGCCACGTCCTTTGCTGATTTTTGCACCTGCTTCAGCTTGGACATTACTCCACATAACATGTCTGTCTCCATCCTCTTTGTCTGCACTGCTACACATGTGCCGTGACGCAGGGTACGAAAAGCTTATTTAGTGGGAATTGCCACGTCATTTGCTGACTTCTGCACCTGCTTCAGCTTGGTCATTACTCCACATAACATGTCTGTCTCCATCCTCTTTGTCTGCACTGCTACACATGTGCCGTGACGCAGGGTACAAAAAGCTTATTGAGTGGGGATTGCCAAGTCATTTGCTGATTTTTGCACCTGCTGCTGATTTTTGCACCTGCTTCAGCTCGGTCATTACTCCACAACATGTCTGTCTCCAACCTCTTTGTCTGCACTGCTACACATGTGCCGTGGCGCAGGGTACAAAAAGCTTATTGAGTGGGGATTGCCAAGTCATTTGCTGATTTTTGCACCTGCTTCAGCTTGGTAATTACTCCACATAACATGTCTGTCTCCAACCTCTTTGTCTGCACTGCTACACATGTGCCGTGACGCACTGGTACCAAAAGCTTATCGAGTGGGGATTGCCAAGTCATTTGCTGATTTTTGCACCTGCTTCAGCTTGGTCATTACTCCACATAACATGTCTGTCTCCATCCTCTTTGTCTGCACTGCTACACATGTGCTGTGACGCAGGGTACAAAAAGCTTATTTAGCGGGAATTGCCAAGTCATTTGCTGATTTTTGCACCTGCTTCAGCTTGGTCATTACTCCACATAACATGTCTGTCTCCATCCTCTTTGTCTGCACTGCCACACATGTGCTGTGACGCAGGGTACAAAAAGCTTATTTAGTGGGAATTGCCACGTCCTTTGCTGATTTTTGCACCTGCTTCAGCTTGGACATTACTCCACATAACATGTCTGTCTCCATCCTCTTTGTCTGCACTGCTACACATGTGCCGTGACGCACTGGTAGGACAAAAGTTGCGCTTGTTGAGCTTCCCACAGTGAACATGGTTGGTTTCTTCTTCTGCACACCCTTTCCCCGTAGAATCCTAGCATGGAGCTTTGTCGTACCCCGGTCGCATTTCCACCCTCCAAAAGCTTTAAAATCTTATATATTTAAAAGAGGGTGATAATTGACCGTCCCACCCCTGCCACACAAAACGGACTTGAAAATGCGATCCGCGGTTGACCGACATGGATGTCTTGTAAAGCTTTCAAGAAGCATAAACTTTGTTCCTCCTGAAGTATATACAATATGTATATACCCGGAGCCACTTTTGTCAGCAAAAATTACGTACAATGGCTATTCGAACATGTATTGAAATACATTAGGAAATATGAAGTCCAAAACAGAAGATGTTCGTTCGAGTGTTTTTCTAATTTCGAACCTTTGTGCTGCGCCCAAAGCCTTCGTGCCTTCGGCATGAAGTAACTCTACATAGTACATTTTAACATGCATTGCCTACCTCTGTCAGTAGAGCAAGCACGAGGCTGCTTGAATTTGCCTTCACAAAACCTTCGCAACCGATGGGGGCTGATGCCCTGAGATTCCAACAAGTTCCCACAACAATCTACATGAACTATCCATGTCTACAGCAACAGTGAGAAACACGGCTACAGACTGCAAATTTAAAACACATTGCGTTTCAGTATTCACAGCTCGAACATTTTCTTCGGACACAACCATTTTTTTCCCAAAATTAATTTTTGATCCCTTTATGCTGCGAATTTGCGTCCAAAGAGCCCTGCTCCTGATGAGTTCTTACAGATCTTTATGTATTGATATGTTGTTTTTTGGATCACAGAGAATACTGTCCGTCTTGCAGAAATCATCCCGAATTCAGTCACTTTGGGCAAGCAACCCATTTCGAACGTTTCTTGCATGCAAAAAAATCGAACCAACTGGGGGTTCATATGTCATATGTAATATTATATTACCCATAGGATCCATGTATGGTATATATATGCTAACATAAAGGTGGTATATTGATGGTAAATGTTACCATATATAGCAGCACCATGGATCCTATGGGTTATATATATATATAATATATATATATGTATAGAGTGTCCATATCTCTCTATTATATTCTATAAATCAAGGATACAGACATGAATATTTAGAACTACT